TTGTGACACTGCATCTCCTTTGTATGGTAGACAGATAAACACTTTTTTTCTTTTCTACAGTTGGATGCTTTTCTTTCTCACCTTTTTCTCTGCTGTACTTCTGAATAAATCCCTTAGGGTATCCATTTTCCCTTAGGCATCTCTCGACGAAAACTAATTCTTCTTCGACCCTGTTTGGTGAACATAGCTTTCTGGCTCTGTCATACAAAGTCCTCACTAATCCACGTTTATAGCTTATGGGACAAAAGCTGTTATAGTGAAGATATTGTCCAGTCCAGGTTTCTTTTCTATAGATGGACTTTCCGACCGTGCCTTCGTTTGTTCTTTTTACATTTAGATCCAGGAAATTGAACTCATTATTATGTTCATATTCCATGGTGAATTTGATATTTGGATGTGTCTCATTTAGGCGATCATATAGTGCCGATGCGTGATCCATATCGTTGCAAACAACAAATGTGTCATCAACATATCGGCGATAGTAGGTAGTTCCATTGATAGCAGAACTTAGTTGTGTCTGCTCAAGGTAGCCCATGAAGATATCAGCCAGGATAGCTCCCAGAGGCAAACCCATCGCGACCCCATCGGTTTGTCGGTAAAGTTGATTGTTGAATTTGAATTGTATATCTTTTGTGCAGAGCAGTGGAAGTCGCTTCATCTCTTTTTCCGTTAATGGTAGTAGATCCGTTTGTTTACAAATTATATCAATTGTTTCCATCAGTGGTACATTTGTAAACAAGGAGATCACGTCATACGATACCATGAGTTTGTCTGATATGTCGATATTGTCAACTTCCTTGGAAAATTGATAACTATCCTTCAGGCTGTGGGTTGCAAATTTAATTCGAATGGGCCCTATAGAATCAGCTAACCATCGACCTAGCTTGTGGCATGGTGAGTCAATCATTGAACGGATTGGTCTTAATGGCACATTCGCTTTATGAATTTTTGGTAGGCCGTACATAGACGGCAAACGTCCACCTTTTGACTTCAGTTTATTGTATGTTTCGCTGTTGATTAGTTTCTTCATTAGAAGTTCTTTGAGACATTTATTAACTTTATTTTCAAATGACGTTGTAGCATCTTTTTTGTTGTCTACTTGGAATTTTTCTTTGTCGTTTAGAATTGTGGTCATTTTATGAATATAATCAGCTTTGTTCAATATAACAACCTCAGAGCCTTTGTCAGGTCTAAATTTGACGACACTAACACTAATATGACACTAACACTGTTGTGTTAATCAATTTTTCTGTTTTCTCTCTTAACCCTCCCCCTGTTTTCAAATTTAAAAGCGTATAAATTGATGATGAAACCTTAAACTAAAAACATTGTAATGCTTTCATTTAGATGGGTCAATTTTATAGTATCTCTTTTCTACCACCACTCAAACATTGAAGTATGTTATAATCATCTATATAACCATTGTAATTTCAGGTAGTCTGCAGCTGATGAGAACCTGTGAAATAGAATGATATCATTTTATACTGCAAATTTCGTCTTCCTTTCTTCAGAGATGTTTGTTAAAATTTGTATACCCTTTCACTGAACGTAATCCATTATTACTTAATTTTATGCACTAATCTGTGACTTATTGGTCACTATGTGTCAGCTTATGATTTTCACTTGATATCTGTGTGCTTGTTGGCTTGATAGTGTATGTCGTCATTTCGATGTGTTTGTTGTTCTGCGTCGACTGCTTGAAATGCGTTCGTACAATGCGTCCAGTGATCATGTTGTTCGTTTTCATTGAAACTAGACAGTGTAATTCGATTCAGTAATGTTCGAATGCTTTCTGTGCAATTCTGTCAGTCACACGAATCACAGACGGATTCCGGTTTGCGAAAACAACTGAGAGACGATCAGCCTTCAATTGTTCAATCGCTCAATTTGACTATTTCGATACAACCAGGGTAAAACTGATGATTAAATAGACTAAAGCTTACGATTCCTAATTTGTGAGTTCACTGTCTCTGTAGGGGTCTATTCGCTGTAATAGTTTTTACTTCACATGTGGATTCTTGTCATTGTTTTCAACTATGATCATTGAGATTGGAAAATATATAAGTGGCATTATTCTTCACCTGTGTCACTGTCCTTTTATATCCTATGTGTAAATGAGGATATTTGAAAGAATTTTCCTAAATCTTCAGCAGACTGAATTGACGAAGAATTACACATAGGCAGGTCACTGCAACTTCCAATTATTCAGGTGGTCATCGACCGACAGAAATCCATCCGACAGTTTTATTTTCATAAGAGTTTCATTGTCACTCCCAATCCTTCATTCATCTGATCTTTGTATATCATTTATTCTGTCAGTCAGATTCCAACAGTTTTATCTTGATTGAGCTGTGTCTACCAAATCGATTCATTGAATTTGTTCACCTCAGTAATGTCTGTTTGACATATCTGCGATTGGTGAGTCTTAGAGTGTTGCATCGAAATGTCGACTTGGATTGAATGTCAATACTTTCAATGAGAGACGTGTTTTGAAGGTTGGGTATTATTTACTTCATCGAGTATTAAGACTCTCTTGTGTGTATTGGTCAGTTAGTGGTCTTCACAAATGAGGCGTGCGTGATATGCACGCCAGCACTTCTTTATTTATCAGGCTTATGTCTCCTATGTGTTTCATTAGTAGGTGTCGGGAGAGTCGATTTGTAATTAGTGTGTGATTTCTTATGTCCTATCATTGTTAAAGCCACTTCACTTGGTGTTAAAGCTAGGTAATGGCGAATTGACCACCATAACTTTAAAAGAAATCGCACTGACGCAAACGGTGCTGGTCGTCAATGAAGGAATCTGAGTACTCCTATCAATCAAGAGTATATATACGATCATGCGAATGGTGTCAAATGTGAAATGATTATAAGCGATAAATCACCCTCGAAACGTCACTAGTAAATATTACTATATAACACTGTGAGACTTCCTCACAATACATTTGATCAATAATGGAATGTATATTGGTGTACATTTTTTGTCTCACGTAATCTAGTGAACACACTTGAAGATGATATCAGTGTGAAGAAATGATCAGCCGTGTTGTTCATCGTTCACCGATCATATATTCCTAAACGAGAACTGCATAGCTCTGGTGCATGAAGAGACAGATATTCACACGTGAAGAAGTTAACATAATATCGTCTTCATTCAAATGAGGTTATCTAATCAAACGTGATCTGAAATCGCACTCTCGATGAGCATAAATGTGATAGTAAATATACGTGGAGTTTGAGTTAGTCTTTCAAGGATGTCACGGTCATTTCTGTTTCACACATTAGACGTTTTGAGTGTATGTCAAACAATAATAAATACTTGTGAATTGAATGATATTGCTATCATAACTAATGCACTGGTAGCGATGACAACACGTATTACTATGAGATGATAGCCAACTGGATAGAAGACGATATCATGGCATTATCTCTATTTCAATTTACAGAAAGTGAAGTGGAATACACATGAGAGAGCAATAAGTGATCAGGAAAAGAACTAAGTGTAGAAGATGCAGCATACACAGAAGGTCAAGTATTTTTTAATTGTTAGAACCATCAACAACATAACAACACAGTTAGCTGAAAATACTAAATATGACTCATTTCCACATCATCCAATCACTTGTGTAGATACGGAAATCAGTAGTTTGTCAAGGCAATAGGTCAAGTTGTACACTCACATTATTGTGTCAACACATTCTACGTACATGTGTGTGAATGAAAGATATTGAGAGAGATGCATTGAAGATATATGAAGACCTTAACGGTGGATGATGCCGTCCTATTTGAGTGGAAACATATTCTGAAATGTTTCCAGATCAAATTTCTCCGGTGTGTGTCGTATGCTATTCAAATATTTGTACGCAGCCATGGCTTGTTGTTTTGTCTTATCATCGAGACAGTGTTGCCATTCGGGTTGAAGTACGTGACCAATGCAATTCAATAAAATTCTCACTGCGCAGTTGTTGTAACTTAAGCACACTGCAGTAAATACTTGAGTGTCTAAGTCAACGGCATATCTGAGAGAGGACACATCCAATTCGGCACTACCTGCACAAAGAATAAGAGAGGGGAACAATTCTAACTGATTTAAAATGTATATTACTCAAATCATCACCTCACGAAGTAAAATTATCACTTTAAAGTTATGCATGGCAACACTGGGAGACGAAGTCGTGTTGTTTAATTCGTATAAATAGATGTTTGGAGAGAGATGATATCAGTCTGTGTTGTTACAGTATCAAGGTTTGTTGGTACGAACCGGTTAAAATTACCGATTAAAAATTACTTTCAAATTTCTGGTGTGTTGATGATGATAGTAATAAACTGGACTTACCTTTGACCGATGATAAGAGTACACCGTGTGAAGTAGAAGTCAAGTAGAGAAATCGACATATAACTTATCGAAGCTGTATGTCAGATGAGAATTGGAGAATTCGTTAGATGACTTTTAGGCGAGTACATAACTAAACTGATATTACAACGCACACACACTAGTGTAGATTAGAGAACAAATTCACCACGTGAAGAAAACATTTCGAAATTATATTGGTTCATTGATATGAAAAACTGCTTGTGATTCTGGTTGACAGCCAGTGTATGTTTGTGGATTGATTCGAACAGGAGCGTAATGTCTAAGTTGGCCAGTATTATCTGTTGACGTTTGTTGTCATCTACGCCAGAAACGATGTCGGATAGGCCCTAGTAGGTTCTGTATGTATTCAAACATACATATACATGAATTCGAACACGGACATTAAGGTAATATACACACAGCTTGAGCACCATCCATAATGATATCCTACTTAACAGCTGTGTTTCATAGCTCAGCGGTCATAGCGATCCTCTTCTAAACCAAACCACTGGATACAGGTTTGATCCCCTGCAGAGATCCATATCCCCTTTTTTATCTCCAGTCATCACTCCTTACACTAACATATTCAACATATTCAAAGTGTTATTTTGAACCACTCTAACTTTGATAAAATACATTGGACTCACGATTGAAGGTATCACGTTTTGTTAGATTCACACAGACTTCAAATTCTTTTGAGAGATCGCAGCTCATAGAAATTCCAGTAGGTTTGCATTCGTTAAAATGACACAAGAGAACTGCTGTCATCTACGGTAGCAAACACAAACATGGAATAAAATGTCTTTCAAGACAATTACAGAACATACCAGAGAGCAGATGAATATATTTACCACAGCTCCGTTCATTTTCTCCGTTTCTAAATGAAGCCAGTCGCGTAATGATAGTTTCACGTTTATATACCTGCGAACGTCATGAAACGTGAGTATATATGCCTATGTGTGATGAAATTAAGTGGGTCAAGTCGGGATTTATATCTACTGATTTCGTGAATTATTTATTTGATGAGTACTTATTGACAGGTAAGCTTACTGCTCATTGAATGGATGATAATAGATTTCGATTCCACATGATGCTTTTTGTGCACGCGTAGAATTATCCATCATTCAACAGCTTTGACATGGACACATACAGTTTACTATTTAATAGATAAACATTTACACGATGCAATGGTGAAAATTGTCGTGCTTGTGGTCTGTGATAAAGTAGCAAGTGCAGATGAACTACAAATGGATTCGTTCTAACGAAATATGTAGAGGTAAACTGATGGGTGGGTTGTTTATGTATCACAGAATGATGATGACAATTGATCACAGGCTGTTTCATTCGAGCATAGTTCATTTCATCGATGTCGTTTGTTCGATGTTGGTTAGCAGTGGAATATATGATGAACGTTTTATCCTATCCATTACTCGATGGACGCCTTTGCATTTCAGTATTTTATAGTGTCCTATTGAAGCGATTAACAAGCTGGCGTCATCCACGGCGTGAGGTGTGGTCTCCCGATATAATCAGCTATGACAGTCATCTCTCGGATTACAATTATCCCACTTTATTCACTGAAGTTTACTCAGATGACTTTCTTTGGCTTCCAGAATTCATATGATACATTCCTCTCAGAGGAAGTTGATAATAATGCATAAAGCTTCATCTATATTTCACTGAATACATACTATTCCAATTATAATTGACGAAAACTTTACTATCGTTTGCATCACGTCTTTGATCTCCTTTAACTTGTCCTTCAGTTTTACTCAGCATTGACGAGTCATTTGTTGGAGAGAAATCTTCGTCAGGAAGCATGAAGAGATATCTCATCGAAGACCGTCACTCGTTGACATTCGACTTCTTCCGACATTCATGTCTCGGATAGAATGAAACACGCATCCTCGATTCCACCGCTTGTAATAATATTGGTCAACGCGAAGTACACAATTACTTCAGTAGTTTGTTGCCCCTTAGTTCTACCATCAGGAAGGTGAACAGGAATGTAGGTGTAATGAAAAGGGAAGTGACAAATATTGAGTTTGACAGAGGAATCTAAGGAGGAAAGTGTTGAGTGTGTTAGCCTACACTTTCAGTAAAACAGTGAGTACTTAATGAATGTCAACTTCTGATGACATGATCAGAAATTATTGACTGTAAATTTTGTTTATAAAGCAAATCAAACCAACTACGTTTACACATATTTCAACGACAGAAGGCAGGACGCGGAAGCTTAGGTGTATTTTCAAGTGATCAAACTGCTACATATATATATATATATATATATATATATATATATATATATATATATATATATATATAGGTTTATATTGTCTAACCAATCATTGAGCGTTTGATTTCGGCCTGCATTAAACGAAATGGAATAGCATGTTCAAATAAATATTATTATTTCGTAGATTCTTTACAACCGCTTTACAACTTACATGGTTAACAATAATAAAATAAAGCCCATGGCAATTACTCAGTTAAATAAAAACAAAAGTACATACTAATCACCAATCATATTTAAAAGGTCATGTAGTCCATGGTAGCCGAAGACTTCGGTCAGCTATCAAACGCACATTCTGCGCCGCCATATCTCTTTTTCTCACTTGCCGAACATTTTCGATCCCTGCACCTAACTACGATTAAAGGACGAAATTCTGTTAACTCCACTTCAAACTGTATCTACAAGTTCACCTGCTCCAGCTGCGGTGACACCCATATAGGTAGAACCAACAGAATGTTCCAATGTCGTCGAAAAGAACATGTTCCAAAATGGCTATTCAATCATATCGAAAATCCTAACGCGATTAATCTAAATAGAAATTCAGCATCATCATCCACTACAAAACACTTATTAATGTCAGGTCACAAAATCAATCAATATTAATGACCGTTTCACAATTATTTCACATTAATCTAATTCAAGGTTGGTAATTAAAGGCGATGGAAACACTTTGGGGGATTAATCACATACAGCCTAAACTGTGTGTACACTCAAAACAATAGACTTCAATCTTCGCCTACTATGGACTACATAACCTACCTAAATATGATTGGTCATTAGTATGTACTTTTGTTTTTATTTAACTGAGTAATTGCCATGATCTTTATTTTATTATTGTTAACCATGTTAGTTGTAAAGCGGTGGTAAAGAAACTACGAAATGACATCATCTCGCGAAATTTGTCTTCTTAATGCCTTATTCAAATTTATGAAAGGGACTAATTGTTTTATTTTTTTATTTTTTATTTATTTATTTATTTTTTGATTATAGCTTGATTCCACACTGTATTTTTGGTACAAGTATGGAATTTTCAGCATGGATATCGGTAGCCCAAATTTCGCAGGCCGACCATAGATATCAAGGTGTGCTTCGGCGTGGGCTCGAGTATTTGATTATGGGAATAACATTCTGACTGGTTAACAACCTTCCAGTGCACAATTTGCAATTGGATTTCAACTAGGTATCTTGGATCTCTTGAAGGAAACACCGCAGATATCGCTTGGTGGCATGGATTGCGCTTCAGCTCAAAGACAACTGTGTCACAGAATACACCGTCAATCAATATTTTACTTGAGGATATTGTACGAAGGCAAGTTATCATGTAATCGACTCCTCCGAAAATTCAGAATACTCTATAAATACTGTCCGAAATAAAGACACTGTGATAATATTCCACTGCCAGGTTAACCAGTAACATCATGGAAACTCACAACTCTATTTCGAAAATTAAACTCATCATTAAATTTCCATGAGGCGGATACTCTCACTTGCACAGCCATTAAACCGGAATTTGAGAAATCCCAGCCCATAGTTTATAGCTAACTTAATCGTCATTCTTCTGCATGAGGTAACTTTTATGTCGTCGTTGTCAAGTTGGCCGGTGCGTAAATATGACAAATCCTCATGCAGGTTGTTGGATTTGACAAGTATATATATATATACATATCTTATAAAAGCAGCGTGTGTTTGCATCATGTACACCTTCATCGGGTAAGGTGTTGCAGCTCGGTGAAATTCCTTTTCAGTCCATCATTCCTATTCAGATAATTTCAATTTCATTTGATATGAAGTGTTTCTGATATTAGACATTCTTTGTGATTTCTGGAGTTTTTCTGGATAATGATTTCAATATTGTCAAAATCGATTTTCTGACCTGATTCTATCGCATGCAGACTGATGTAGGCTGATGGTTTTTCAAGCTTTTCTAGTTCAACTGGATTTCTGAGTGGTCGAACAGGCGCTCTACGGAGTTCATTTCTTCTGATTTTGATTTCTCGTGATGTTTGTCTATCGCATCACATTCAAACATTTGATTTTGTTGACACAATTTGATAGAGAATCCTTAAGGATTTGTTCTTTTATAAGGACAAGATTGCTTTTCAATGTGTATGATGTTTTGAAGAAAACTCTGATGTCGTGCTTATTGAGCACTCTTCTGATATCGCCTAATGTTTCGGAAATACAACCTGGTGAGGTCCATGGCTTCAGAGTACGTTTTCGACCATATTTAATGTCAGTATCGATTTTATTGATGAAGTTGTTTTGCTTGAGAGTTTCAGTAATGTTTGATATTTGTTCTTCTTTTTCTTTCTCATCTGTTATCAAAGGGTGTGCTCGTCTAAGAAGATTCGAAACAACTGACACCTTTGCGTTCATATGGTGTGATGATCCATAGTCCAAATATTCATTGGGATGGGTTCGTTTTCCTGAATACACCTATATTAAAATGTCCGTTTTCCCTCTTCTTTACTAGGCAGACAGTCTAGAAATTGTAGTTCACCGATGTCTGATTCTGCCTGCTAAGTAAACTGAATGCTGGAAGATAGATTGTTCAGTTTCTCCAAGAATAGAATGTGAAGATCTCATTTTAGCACTACAGAAGTGTCACCAACGTATCTTAAACGTATTTTAGGCGTAAGCATGATTGAAAAGGTGTTATATTCGAAACTAATCAATAAAAAATCAGCGAATATTGAGGGAGCTGATGAACCCAGAGCAACACCATTTGTCTATTTATATATATTCAATTTTCAGAAAGAATTTTAGGCTCCTAATTGTTTCACCAGAAGGAGGTGACCTCTGTCAAATTTCTCCCGTTGATGGTGAATAGTGCTGGCTGTTTGTCTCTGTCAGTGATAGTTGGTTATTTCCATCAACTCCACCTGCTCTCATCGAAATCTCTTCCTGAATTATTTGCTCTTGGTTTGATGGACATTTAGATCGCTCATGGGGATTTTGATGTCGCCACTCCGGATGTTGTCCATTACTATTTGCAGCTGTTTATAGAAATCTTTCCTCTTCTCTTGCTCTGAGTTGTTGGTAACTGCTTAGCAGGGGACGATTGTAACCTCCCTTCCTTCCTTTTGAATTGAGCCTTGCTGTCTTAATCCTGGATGAGACTGTTTCCCACTGCATTAAGGCTTTCATTTGCCCTGATGACATAATGATAGCTATTCACTCCATCAGTTTGTTGGTGTTTGTCATCTGAGTGACAGGTGTAGATGACTGACTCATAGTTTGACAATTCTGATAGTCCACATCCATTCCTAGCCCTACTACAGCATGTCTTCTCATTTATTTGGTTGCAAGGGCAGCCTTCCCAGCTTCGTATATTGTACAGAAATCCCACATCCCTATTCTTATTTGCTTTTTCCTCGACAGAAGACATATCAGCTGGTTAGTTGGCTTTTCGAAGGCTTTCACCAGCTGGCGTCACTTGATCTTTCGGATTTTAATGAAGAGTAACTTTTGTCTTCTAAATATTTTTTATTGACAATATTTTTCATGCGCATCGTCTCAACTACAGGCGGAACTGACGAGGATATCAAAGCCAGAATCGGAAAAGCAAGACAA